ACACACACACACACAGACACACACATCCAGATACACACACACACAGAGACACACACATCCAGATACACACACACACACAGAGACACACACACAGAGACACACATCCAGATACACACACACACAGAGACACACACACAGAGACACCCACATCCAGATACACACACACACAGAGACACACACAGAGATGCACCCACACCCAGATACACACACACACACACAGACACACACATCCAGATACACACACACACAGAAACACACACATCCAGATACACACACACACACAGAGACACACATCCAGATACACACACACACACACAGACACACACACAGAGACACCCACATCCAGATACACACACACACAGATACAGACACACATGCAGACTCAGACACACACAGAGACACACACAGACACAGACGCAGCCACACACACACAGCAGTTGTCGTCAGGTGTGGGGAGGATCTCGAGCACACAGGGCTCACTTGTTACATCTTGGGAGCTGGAACAGCATCCAGCACTCGGGGCCTCGGCCAGCCTGGGTTGGACAGACGTCCCTTTCTCCCCCAGAGCCTGGGCCAGGCCGTGAGATGCAGGTGCAAGACCTCGGGGTACCCCAGCCCAGGCGGCCGCCTACCATCCCTCAGCCAGGTTTATTTCTGGGGACAGAGCTCCAGGCCTCTGCCTCTGACGCGTTAGCACAGTCTCAACTGTGAGCTCCCTGGTCACTAACGGCATCCAGAACCGTCCACAGACATCTGTTGCTTGACTAGAAAAACAGCTGCTGTTAACATGCTACTCACCAGCTATGACCAGCCGTCAGCATCAGAACTGGCTCTGTGGGCACACTGCGTGATAGCCATGTGGACTGGCTCTCGGCTGCCCCAGACCACTGTCCGGTCCCTGGTGGGGAGGGGGTGCCCTGGGGAGGAAACACAGGGGTTGGCCAGCCGCAGAGGTGGGAGCAGACAGGGAGGCGGCCCAGCTCCTCATTCGGCCTCTTCTGAGCCCATAGGTGCCTCTAAAGTCACACGAGGGGAGGCGTTTATTGACTGCCCACTGTGCGAGGGCCCTGCCAGGTGCTGGGGTGTGCAGGTGGGTGGGAAGGGAGCACTGCCCCGCCTGGCCTTCACGGCTCCAGGCAGCAGGATGGGCCTGCTCCGGGAGGTCACGGCCGAGAGCTGCAGGAGGGTCCTCAGGGCCCGCAGAGCGCCGTGTAAGGGCGGCGGGAGGGAGATGCCGCATGGGGCAAGTGGGCAAGTGTGTGGGGCAGAGAGGGCAGGAGCGGGGCAGGCTGGCCCCAGGCTTGTCCTACGAGAGCTGGAAAGGGCAAGTGCAGGTCACCTGTGAACAGAGGGCCCAGGACGAACTTCACAACCAGGTCGCAAGGGGCTCGGCTCCGTGGAAACAAGCATCTCACCCCCCACCCCCAGAGAAACGCTGGAGCATCGGGGGTGGGGGGTGACCTGGCTGAGCCCCTTTCTTTCTGAGGACGCAGGGGGCAGTCCCCATCACCGTGTGGGACTGAGCCTGTCTTCCCAACAATGCCTAGGAGACCCCATTTCTCAGAAGAGGGCACGGGGGCTGAGGACACCCAGTCGCTGCCCCAGGACATGCGCTGGCAAGCGGCAGAGTGGGCGCTGGCCAGGTCCGGGTCAGACCAGCACCCGCTGAGAAGGCAGGATGGGGAGGTCCAGGCACTGCTGGCCAGGACGGCCCCCAGGGAAAGCCTGGAGGGACTGGACGCTGCTGGCCTT